GATGTTGGAGCTCGGACGGGACTAGCGTGAGAAGAATGAAAGAAAGCTTATCGCTGCCGCCGCCAGCTGGCGGGCCTGATGTAAGGGCTGCCTCGCTCCTCCGAACCAGTCAGCCGGACGGTACATAGTACTGGGTACAGTTCTTTCATTGCAAGTTACATTGTACATTGTGGTGCAGTGTAGGTACCTAATAGCATTTTATAATGCGTTGATTTATGTTAAAATACCATTGCTTAACCCGCGCGGGGCTGGGGGGTAAATTTTACCCCCCTCGCGAATTTTTCAATAGATATCACAAAAACGGCGGCGCGCAGCGCCGCCAAACTTTCAGTACCTTTTCTTACATCAATTTAACACGTTCCCTGAAAATTTGAGCGAAATCCTTTGGAAGTTTTTTGAGAAAATGACGTTTTAGTGACATCATGTTCGCCATTTTCGCCTCAAAAACGGCAAAAATTCAAACGCCGCTAAAACCTTCATTTTCAAGGGAATCAAGATGTAACAAAAAAGGTTATACGTGATTTTACTTTGTCTATCAAATTGCTATCTCGGTTTTTTGAAAAAATTTGATTTTGGCCCAATTTTTTTTCTCTAAAAAATACTGAATTTTTGGGGAAAATAATTAAAAAATACAAAATTTTGCGTGTATCGAAAAAAAAAACGGAATATATGTCAGAAAATCGGTCCATGTGCACCTAACTACCAATTTTTAGAAGAATCGGTTCAAAAATGTGGGAGTTATTCAAAATTTTATGACGTCACGACAAACAATTTTTTTTTATAAAAAAAAATTGGAAGTTCAAGACCTCGTACGGAAATTAAAATAGCACCATTCGATTCGCCGTGAAAAATTGCATCAGATAGACACCTATTTAGGCCTTAACAACCAACTTCAAAATTTGGCCTCATTTGACCTGACCTTGACCTGACCTCGAACTGAAATTCATCCAGATGTGGTCCATATCACCTATTGAGTGTGCCTATTTAATTCCATTAATAAAATGACCCATAAAACATGTGTCGCACATGCCCTTTTCTATATTTCGTTTTTGGTGACCTGACCTTGACCTTGACCTCTGAATGATATTGTATGCAACGAATATTGTCTTGGTAGCCTAAGAACACGTTTTGGGCAATCAGTCTCAGTCCATGACTCCATTCTTCGGCAACTACGGTGCAAGGCCGATACTGTAGAAACTTGCAATTTGTACCCTTGACCTGGCCTTGACCTTGACCTCAAACTTTAAATTAAGTACATGTTTTTAGTTGTACGTGATGAGATCTTTCGATTGGCGTTTGAGTTTTCCAAATCGGACCATTAGTTCGGGAGATGACAGGGGGAGTAAAATTTACCCCCCCCCCCCCAGCCCCGCGCGTTCGACTGGAGACCCCAGCCCCGCGCGGGGTCCCATGGACTACGGAACTAAATGCCCTGCTAAGACTTTCTCAGACTAGTGCCGGGGATGTTCAAAGTTTGAACCCCCCTCCCTACACCTTTCTTTACGTTTTCGGCAAACATCTAAACAAATCGTGGTGAAGCGCCATCAGCTTTCTCGCACGTAATAATACATTTTAACTAGCTGAGCATGTAAAAATATATAGGTACTACATACAAATCATTTTATGCCAGTTAACCAGGTAGTGTCAAGCGACCGATCTAACTCCAGAAACTTTTATAATCGCCATTACTATACCTATCGACTGAGCGAACTGCAGAAGGTTTCAACAATTGATTATGATAGAAAACGAATAAATTTGATTAGATTAGTAAATTTGACCTTCGAATCGATGATCTAAAGTTTGAGCCCCGGTGACCTGGATTAAATCAACTTTTAGGCTTTCTTTATTTTTGGTCCTCTTACAAAACCGTTAGGGCATCACTTGTCGCACAAAGCGCAGGAACCGAGTCAGACGAGGGGGATGCAGGCTACTCAAACGCCCCGCGCAGCATTCAGCGAGACGCAGAGATCCGTGGGCCCCCAGCAAGGTGCGGTCGGCTATAATGTGTGACGTGTGAGTAGGTATCGATCGTTTGGGTCAACCCTGTAGCAATCATGCTCACGCTCAATGCACCCTCATTCACCCGTCTTTTCATTCAAGCCCCGATCCACCCCGGTCCACCTGTGGTCCACTTTTGGTCCACGCTGGTCCGCCTTTGGTCCACTCTTAGTCCACCGTCATCATCGGTCCACCCTGCCGTCCGTCCGCCCGGCCGACTGGAACCAGGTCACGTCGTGTCGAGGTCATCTCCGGCCGGCCAGGAGCACCGGGAGGGCGGCTCCCTGCACCGCTCTGCAGAGGCTGCCAGAGATGGCCGTGCCAATCGGCTGCAGCGTGGACCCGTGCCGCGGCCCTGTCCCGTCCCCGACGGCCGCTAACTCACCTACTTGGGCCCGTACCGGAGGAGGAGGTGGGCCATCGTGATGGTGTACGGTTTATTACGTGATGATGACCCTTCCCTGCTCACGATGCTGCTAACTGATGTCGGACATGAATATGCTTCACGTGGCTGGCACATCTTTGCTGCGGGCCTATGAGATATATTGCGTCATTTGAGTTTGGTAGCTTGATGTTATCGGTCTCCTCTCCAACGATGAATATAAATAACAGGTCATGACTTACTAAAATAGCATGAATTGGCATAGGCTGATTAATCAGATGAGCTGGCACGCACTACTGAACGTTCCCTCAAAGTGACCTTAAGGAGTTCGTTTACCAAGACAATTACAAAACTAAAGCGGTTCACTCAGAACATAACCTCCCGGCGTGACCTTAGCATTAGTCATGGCATAGCCTTGCATATGCATAGAGAAACAGCTTACTTGGAATAGTAATGTCTGAACTGGCTGTTAAAATACCTATCCCCATTACCGATATTTTCTATCTCGCTATTGATGACTTTTATCGGGCTGGCATCGCCACGATGGATAAGTAATCATGGCCTTTAATGCCTTTCAACGTATCCCTTTCTCGTACATTTTATTAGGTATCACATTGCTGGTCTCGAAAAGTTATATTCACATTACAATCATTGAAATGAAAATTAAGAGCACCGAAATCTACAATTAACAACAAACTTTTATTATGGTAAGACAAATAACATATTGACCAAACAGTGGGGCAGTTATACGATAGGTACCTTTATGTAATATGTTGTGCGACATATCAACAAAATTCAACAGACGAGACACGACTAAAATAAAGGTGTACCGCTTCGTGCAATAGCAACCAGTAACAGCTTTATCTACTGCCTTCAACAATCAATATACCACCAAACAATGTAACTTTCTTTCTTACTTGTGAGGTTAACTTGTACCTTAACTCGTTTATACAACATAACAACTAGGATCTTAACATCAACGAAACAAGATAAACAACAACATCTTCCTGACTACGTTCGCGGTAACTTCACGTACGAGACCGACCGAGGGTCCCCAGAGATACTTGTCATCCTGAAACTTCATCTGCCATTCGCTGCCTCTGTTCCAGGCTCACGACACTGAAATGTGCCCTCGGCTGCAATGGAAAGCCCACTGGTATCTCCTTTGACACAGATACGACCCCTTATGTGTGCATGCGTGCGTGTGCTCCGATCGTTCACACGATATCACGTCACGAGCAGCCACTAACGGGCAAACAGGAGAGGTCATAAAGCCGCGGTGACATCACGACATGATCAGCTAACGAGCGGCGACATGGTGACACTCCACAAATCACAATCACCCACACGTCACTGAGGGCAGCGGTGAGCTCGCACCGGTCAGTGGCTCTCTGTTAGGTGCTGAATAGTTGACCTCAGCGCTGTCACCCCCCGGCAGTCGAACGATGGCCGCCGCCGGTCCGGCCTGACGTCAGCGCTCCCTCACTCGTCGCCGCCCGGCGCCGCGCCTGTAACCGAGCGTCACGCGTCACGCTGGGGTCACGGCGTGACGACACTAGTCACCTGATTACGGGCGCGCAGACGAGAGCGGCTCGGCCGAACCGACCTCTGAGACTCTCGCTCTCCGGGTGGGATCATCGGAGCGGGTGAGATGAACCCGGTGGCGTTGTTAGACTCGGGTGGGTGTCACATATGCTTTCTGAACACATACGGATGTCGACGGGTTTGCCTGATGGCTCGTTAACATGTCACGTGACTAAATCCATCACAGAGTGGGACGGTGGGGAGTTTATTGGCGAGCGCCAATCTGATTAACTGTAAACGGCCATTAATGAGGTCAGTTGATGGCTGATGCATTATGTTGCATTGTGCATTCTAATTTCTAATGTTACCAATAGTCACATTCAGCACACGATCGAAGCGCCTCGGGTCACAACACCAGTCCCTTTCTAGGCCTGTGCATCCCGCCCTTGCCTACGGCCACGGAGGCAGAGAGCTCGCCGGTTGGTTACATCACCGTTCTGACACGCTCCCATCACCCGGCCGGTCGGCGCCGGCAGCCGGGCTCCCGGCACGGAGAGGGAAAGTCACGGTCGCGGCCGGCCGGCCGGCCGAACCCGCCATTAGTTCCGGATGGGGTCACAGGCACCCTGTCCTGCCCGGCCCTGGTCCGGCCCAGGGCGGGTCACCAGGGCTGAGTGAGCAGACACCCGCACTTGGCTGGTGGTCCGACGGAAAAACCCGCCCTCGCGACGGTCCGGCCAGGAAGTCCGGACGGGACGGGACGGGACGGGACGGGGTGGGTTTTTCGGAGGAGTGGGTATTATCGGTGTGGGAGAGGTGGCTCAGGCTGCTGCAAGCGGGAGGCGTGAGACCGGCTGGGTGGTATGCGGGTGGCATTGAGGCAATGTGCAGCCCCGGGTTAACTGTAACGTGAATAGGTGGACTGATAACCAGAGAGTGATAACGACAAATGTTGGCAATTGATGATCAAACGGTACCTATAATAGCGGAGATCTTTGATAGTGCGGGGGGACAAGAAAGGGCAACAGTCTGTGAATATCATCCAGCGATGTTGCAGCGTTACAGCCGATGACATAAACAGACCTTCGGATATAGGGAAAATTAATGACAGGGTTAAGAGCGGGGTTTTATGGAAGGGGTTGTCAACAATGGCCTCTGTGATAGCAGTAGTCGTGGTACTTACTGGTGACATTACCCACCTCTACGGTGGCGGTATTTGTGGTACTAATGGCGTACAACCTACCTCTGTGCTAGCGTTACTGGTGAGAGGTGACATTACCCACCTCTACCGTCGCAGTATTGATGGTACTGGTTGACATTACCCACCTCTACGGTCGCAGTAGTGATGGTACTCGTTGACATCACCCACCTCTACGGTAGCGGTAGTGGTGGTATTGGTGCTTGGTTCGTCTGCACAGCATTCCGTAGACGCGGACCGTTGGCACGTGCGCATATGCGGGCATCTGGTGTTGCAGAGGACCATCTGACAATACAGGGGGAGAGAGATGTCTATCCGGGGGACACAGGCAAGGGAGAGAGGCAGCCAGTGATTGTTGGACGAATGCGTGGCGGGAACGTGCTTTTACAGTTTCATTGTCCCAAACACTTTTCTTCACTTAATTCGTCCCAAAGCAAAAGAACGGCTAGAAAGGATCTCTCAAATCAAGAAAGCCTAATAATGCTCTCCGCATATTCACTAAGCCGATACTAAGCATGTGTCTGCTGTGCCTCTGGCATACCGCCAGTCCGCGTGGAACATAGCATCAACACACACAACATTCACAACAGCAGCCACACAACAGAGCACGGCATCGTTCCATTTGGATCTTCTGACGGCTCCGTTACAGGACTACACCCCGCTCACGGGCGATCACTAATGGAGTATCATACCTCCATGCCACGTGACGCGACAGCGGCCATATAACCAACGAATGACGCACAGGTAGCGCGGTGAATGCTTCCAGCATATAACGCTCTGGCGCAGACCATTCGATAAGTGCACATTTTCCGGGTACACGTAAGCCAACACAAGAAGATCGGCTGTCGCGTTCCACAGACAAGCTGACAGGCAGCCAAAGAACATCCTCCGTAATATGTTTGGGAGGTAGCTAGATTGTACATATATTCTGCTTGGGTTATGGACCTGAATCGGTGGCAGATATGTAGTAGGTACAGATATATGGCATGCCGTTCTTCGAAAAATGCCTACTGAGCTAGCTGCCGCTGATGGTCGACCAGCTAAAAGCACAGCCCGGGGCAGGAACAGGAGAGATGTGTTGTGATTGAGGCTATACCCTAAACCTGATTTAATGCAAAATGCGACAACGTGAATGCCTGTATATGGACAGAGAGGCCAAACTGGCGGTATATCACCCCTGCTTCACGTCGGCTGGGCCACTATCCACAGGATAGCTGTTGGTGCACAAAATGCTATGTAGCAGAAGATACTGACCCCGAGACCCAGAGAGAGACGTCATATACTGAACCAGAGAGCCGTCATATACAGACAGTACAGCAGTATGCACTGACCCAGGGAGCAGTCACAGTATACAGCAGTATTTAACTATACTGACCCAGAGAGCCGTCAGCGGGGCACCGGCAGATGACCAGGAAGTTTGACTTTCCCGAGCGGGTGTTCTGCACCGCCAGCAGTGCCCAGTCGTCCCCAGAACACTCTCGAATCTCGTCGTTCGATTCGCAAGTCTTCACAGAAGTGAGGGCCTGAAAACACATTGAGATATGGTGAATTGTCAATATCGAAAAGCCGTCATTCACATTCAGTCGTGACAGCTTTGACTCATGCTAAAGTAGTGATATCGATGGTCATTTGAATGCGTGGTAAGTCCGTAAGTGTTGGATTGCGTCCGTTTCAAAGTACAAGGCTCGCTTGTCTATCAATACGAGTGGTATCGGCTGTGACGTTTGTCAACCTACGCGCGCGTATATCTTCATCCAGGGCTTAGCAATTGATCATGCCAGTTGATGTCGAAAGGACACGCTGTTCGCTGTTTGCCTCCAGGTGTTGATGTAGATCGCTGAGTTCAATACAGAGCCAGTCGGAGAGCATATATACGTGCTATGCACGGATGAAAAAAAGGCTCCAGAAAAAGACGATAAATTAGCGACAAATAACAAACTCCCGGGATGCCATGCTGCTGCACTGTACCCAGATATGTAAATACAGGGTATACGCGTACAGCTGGATCGAGGTGCTGACAACATCCCATGTGTGGGAGTGGCGTGCACTCGGGTCTCAGCTGATCAGCTGGACAGCAGTCACTGTGGCCGGCGGCTGCGGCGGCTGCTGTGATACCATCTGCGGGCGACCGTGTCGGGTGCTGCGCTAAAGCCGCAGCCCACTGACCCATAACCACCCACCCCATCCCTCTGCCTCTCTCCGTCCCTCTCTCTGTATCGCTCCCTCCCTCCGTCCCCTCTCTCCATTCCCCTCCCTCTCTCCGCGGCTCCGTGCCTGGCGCAGGTCCGGATGGTAGAGTCGAGAGACACGGGAGCTCAACTGACGACTTACACAGCGACCCTGCAGGCTTCGCTAGTCCTGGCTAATGGACACCTCACGTTATCAGAATTGTATCGTCTGAAAATATGAAATTCAGACTGGCGCACTTCAGTCTCGATAGGACTTAAGCAATGGAGGTAGCAAAGCAACAATTTGGTACTTGTTTTGCTCGCAATTATTTGATAGTTTATAAAGGTACATTACATAAATGTGTAAATGTATTGAACATCGTGGATGACATGCAATAATTAGTGTGCTCAGGCTCCGCGCAATAATGCGGAAAGCTTGGGTAAGAATAGTGTAGGTAGGCTGTCGATAGTTGCGATAGTGTGGACGTGGAGTGTGGACCATCCGAACATTATCGAGTGGGTCTTAATTTGTGTAAGGTGAATTTGACCGGGATGAATAAGAAAAGAAATAAAATTGCGCTACCCAACATGCTTCGTAGAATATGTTAAATTGCAAAATAATCCTTGCTTACTAATGACAGCAAGATGAACGGTAATTTGGTTAGATGATCTCCAATGTCTCAGATGTCTCCCACGCCAACACTTCAGCTGTCAGTACTTCAACGTATTTCTCGGCTATATCAGATGGCCAGTGAGGACGCGCTGGCAGCTCCTACCCCAACGATCAGCACCCGCTGACCCTCGAACTGCAGGGTCAGCGGGTCCCCAGCGGAGCCAGCGGAGAGCCGCGGACCCAATCGTCGGCACCGTTTCCCCCGTAAACAGCCGCCGGTGTCACCCTGACAGGTGGTCGGCGCGGGGTCGGGGTCGACGGTGACACTGTGACCGGCCGATAGCGAGGTGTGAGGGTGGTCAGCAGGCCCCTGACCCAGAGCGAGTGGGCAGCGACGGTAACAAGAGACGCACGTGGGAAGTGAACGTTTGTGGCTCCCTATCCCAGCTCTGTTGCAGCTGAGGCCGTCTGTGGTTATCACTCGCTACAGTGAGTGGACGGTAACCCACACGGCGGCACCGTGTGTTACTCTGTGGTTTCCGTCGTGTGGTTCCTTACCCCCAGCGACTGGTCGGTGACCGGTGGCGCAGTGTGCTCCTCTGTGGTTTCTGGTGTGTGGTTCCTTACCCCCAGCGACTGGTCGGTGACCGGTGGCGCAGTGTGCTCCTCTGTGGTTTCTGGTGTGTGGTTCCTTACCCCCAGCGACTGGTCGGTGACCGGTGGCGCAGTGTGCTCCTCTGTGGTTTCTGGTGTGTGGTTCCTTACCCCCAGCGACTGGTCGGTGACCAGCGGCACAGTGTGCTCCTCTGGGGTTTCTGGTGTGTGGTTCCTTACCCCCAGCGACTGGTCGGTGACCAGCGGCACAGTGTGCTCCTCTGTGGTTTCTGGTGTGTGGTTCCTTACCCCCAGCGACTGGTCGGTGACCGGTGGCGCAGTGTGCTCCTCTGTAGTTTCTGGTGTGTGGTTCCTTACCCCCAGCGACTGGTCGGTGACCAGCGGCACAGTGTGCTCCTCTGGGGTTTCTGGTGTGTGGTTCCTTACCCCCAGCGACTGGTCGGTGACCAGCGGCACAGTGTGCTCCTCTGGGGTTTCTGGTGTGTGGTTCCTTACCCCCAGCGACTGGTCGGTGACCAGCGGCACAGTGTGCTCCTCTGTGGTTTCTGGTGTGTGGTTCCTTACCCCCAGCGACTGGTCGGTGACCAGCGGCACAGTGTGCTCCTCTGGGGTTTCTAAAGTGTGGTTCCTTACCCCCAGCGACTGGTCGGTGACCGGTGGCACAGTGTGCTCCTCTGTGGTTTCTGGTGTGTGGTTCCTTACCCCCAGCGACTGGTCGGTGACCGGTGGCGCAGTGTGCTCCTCTGTGGTTTCTGGTGTGTGGTTCCTTACCCCCAGCGACTGGTCGGTGACCGGTGGCACAGTGTGCTCCTCTGTGGTTTCTGGTGTGTGGTTCCTTACCCCCAGCGACTGGTCGGTGACCGGTGGCACAGTGTGCTCCTCTGTGGTTTCTGGTGTGTGGTTCCTTACCCCCAGCGACTGGTCGGTGACCAGCGGCACAGTGTGCTCCTCTGGGGTTTCTGGTGTGTGGTTCCTTACCCCCAGCGACTGGTCGGTGACCGGTGGCACAGTGTGCTCCTCTGTGGTTCCTGGTGTGTGGTTCCTTACCCCCAGCGACTGGTCGGTGACCGGTGGCACAGTGTGCTCCTCTGTGGTTTCTGGTGTGTGGTTCCTTACCCCCAGCAACTGGTCGGTGACCGGTGGCACAGTGTGCTCCTCTGTGGTTTCTGGTGTGTGGTTCCTTACCCCCAGCGACTGGTCGGTGACCGGTGGCGCAGTGTGCTCCTCTGTGGTTTCTAGTGTGTGGTTCTTACCCCCAGCGACTGGTCGGTGACCAGCGGCACGGTATGCCCGTCGTCTGCAGTCAGCAGTGGGCTGCAGCGGGGCGAGTCGCGAGGGCAGACGCACTGAGGGTTGGTCCTCTGGAGCCGCGGGTACGCCGTACTGCAAACCTGAGGCACAAACACAAACACAAACACTGTGGGATAGTCTGCTGCCGACGCGGGTACACCGTGTTGCAAACCTGGGCACAAACATAAACATAAACACTGATGCTGGTCCCAGGCCCGCTGCACACCGCACGAGAGGCAGAAAACATCGAAATAGGAGACTTATATACGACAATGCATCTGAGGCGTAAGTTGGAGACTGTTTACCAAACCGGCTAACAAACCACCGCGCGGATCTGGTAGCCGTGATTTTGTCCACCGGGATGGGCACAATAAAGCTAAGTGTGATTGACTTCCGCACCGTGTGTTCATCATGTTACGACACCGGTAACTGGCTGGTGATGGAGTGTTCCACAATGCACATCATGTGGTTAGTCACACTCGCCCTGGGCACGCTCGACAGTAACGAGCCATGACTGCGCCACAATGGCCCTAAACTGGCAGTTGCTGCCGGGCTTACTGGGAACCTGCAGGCACGGGCAATGGGCACGCTGCAACAGCTTCTGAAATAGTTACACTCAGCCTATTTATAGCGATTGTAAGACGCCGCTCGGCTCAGCTTCCGCCATAACCCCGTCACAAACGTGACGTGAATCAAACGTCGAGCTCAATCGCGCTCTTCCGGTTCTTAGCTCCCTCCACGGTGCAGTCGTCAGCACACTCGCAGCCAATCCGCCACGCAGCCAGGCCGCCTCTTTACGGTAAGCACTTTCATTATGGCCCAGTGACACCATGACGTGCACAAAAACGTTTTGTTGCGGAAAGGGAAAGCGCGGCGCACCGCTGGTCACGGGTGCATTGTGCGCGCGTTGTTACGTCACCTTGGCGGCGTGGTGCGGCGCGGCGCGGCGCGTGCCGCGTGCCGCCGGTATGGGTACTGACCTGCTGTGGCGCGCACGTCGGCAGGAACTGGCCTGACTCGTAAATCCACTGCCGGAACGGGATCTGTAACAGTAGCACACCGGAACAGCGGCGGTCAGTGGTGGCGTTAGTCGTGTCAGCCGGTCGTGACGGCTACCGTGAACAAGGTATGTTTGTAATCAAGACCGAACTGTCCTCAGATAGGATAACTATAAGCCGTTAGTAGCCATTCTATCACGGCCGTGATTGAACTCACGGAGAGAGAGGAGATGGAGAGCTGAGAGACGTTTCAACGAAGAAGAGGAAAAGTGCAAGTGGAGCGTTTTCGGTGAGCTGCACCATTTAAATGGAGAAAGGCCGACATTGCGATTTGATGCATGACCGACAACGTCAAGCTATATAGGGTTTGTCGATTGAAATTTCATAAATTTATAAATGGAAACAAAAACTACAGCAGCGATGGATTATTACAGGTGGTGGCAGGTACCTACAAATGTAAGCATCATTGTAATTACAGCTCACGTCATATTGATTGACCGTTGGGTTGCTGTAAGATTCATTAAACACTTAACCCGGTTTAACATGCTCAAGTGTGCAAACTGCAGGTTGATAATCGTCAGCCTGACGTCATGGTGGAGCTCCTGCACCGTGCACAGTGCTCAGACTGACAGCGAGCACCGCCTCCGTGCACTGTGCTCTGGTGGGGATACATAGCCACATTATTTGGCCGTCATGGTCGGTCAGCCCCGCCCCTGCCACTGCCAATTCCGGTCAGCAATAGCCGTCCTCATTGTGAGTAGCTCATCGAAGTACCGGAGGAGTTAAGACGCAGGGTTGTGCTCGACTCATGAGTCGAGTCAGAAATTTGACTCAACTCTGACTCAAATGAGTCAGATTTGAGTCGAGTCGGATAAAATGTTGAGCTGTTGAGTTGAGTCAGAGTTGAGTCGGACAAAAATATTAAGGCGTTGAGTTGAGTCAGAGTTGAGTCAGCAAAATAGCTTTTTAAAATTGAGTTGAGTCAAACATTTAAAAACACGAGTCAGCTGACTCAACTTTCCAGAAACAATATATATATATATATATATATATATATATATATATATATATATATATATATATATATATATATATATATATATATATATATATATATATATATATATATATATATATATATATATATATATATATATATATATATATATATATATATATATATATATATATATATTCTTAGCCCTGGCTTTGCTGCCAGATTTTTTTCACCTCCCCCGCTCAACAACTTGAGTCAATTTTGAGTCAACTCACTTGGCTCAACAAATAATTTGAGTCAAGTTTGAGTCGACTCATATTTTCATCGAGCCGCTTGAGTCATGAGTCGAGTCAAGGGAAAAAATCAGTTCCTTGTTTGAGTCAGAGTTGAGTCAGGGCTTTTTGAAGTTGAATGATGAGTCGAGTCGGCACATTTTTTTGAGTCCAGCACAACCCTGTTAAGACGAGCTGAGCTCGGAGTAGATCAGCGACGCCGCCCAATTACGTGACCTCGACCTCTGCGGTCGCCCCAGCCCTTCTACCAAGTGAATAAGCGTCCCTTCACCACGCGCCCGCCGCCGCGATGTCATATCGTTCCTTCTCACGCCCACCCACATATCATGCACAGGGCTGTGATTAAGTGACGGGCACGCCAGCGTGTCGTCACGTATTTTTAGAGTCGAGTCGCTGCGGTGAAAGATGATGTGTGCAACCACGGAAATGATCGTCATCTTACCGCCTGGCTGCATGCAGCCGGGGGCTCACGCCGTCACTCACCCGAACCAGAAAGCGTGTATAATGTCTGAAAGCGTAAATGAGCCCGACAAATGTGCAATCTATAGGCGTTCCGACCAAGATGCGAAACATTAACACGCGGAAAGTATAAAGGGTTATTTGGTGTAAACATGCAAGAGAATATTACCACTTTTTACTGATTGGTTCAACACTTATCCGGTGTTAGTCCCGCATTAAACAGAATGTAAATTACAGTCTGCAACATTCCATCGGATTTCTATCTGACCAAACATTTTAGGTAACTGAAACTTCGTCGATTATTGCACACAGATACCTCATAATCCGGGGTGGCAGTGCAAATGCATTTGCAGGCTATCCAGCGCACGGTTTTAGAACCAAGATAGGCCAGCAGAACAAATCGCTGCTGCCTGCTGGGAAAGTTAGACTCGGCCTTCGAACCGTTTGGTGCCATTTTGTATGCTATTTGGCTGCTGGGCGGCAACAACAAAAATCATTGCGGTGTGCTAGCTTTGGTCGCATGGTTTCCTTTTTGGATGTCAACATAGTTTCAACGACTCTTGTGTTGTTATGTCAGCCTACTCATTCATCGGCAATGGTTTTTGTGCTGTGCGAATTTAATTTCGATCCCAACTCTCCCAGATCTCAGTTAGCTATGGGCTGAGCTTGGGTTGGTGTTTACCGGATCTGAGCTAGTTACGGACTGAGATTGGGCACCTACCTTGCTGGTGACGGAGCCGTAGGCTCTCTGCTCGCCCTCGGTGTGCTCGGCGACCAGCGCGTCCAGCAGCCGGCGCTCGCCGTCCCCCAGCAGCTGCTGGCCCGGCTGGCCGAGTCGCTGGGCGCGCCCCTGGCGGCCGCGCGCCCTCAGCAGCGTCAGCAGCAGGTCATCAGCGGGCGAGCTGCCGGCGCCGGCCGCCGGCTGACCGGTCAGCAGTAGCACCAGCAGCGGCACCAGAAGACACAGCGCGGCGCGACTCATGGCGGACGGACGGCCCGGCGCGGCGCGGCCACCTCTGGAAGGGAGGGGAGGGGCGTGAGGTGATGTCCAACAGGCCGGTAGTACTGCAGCGACGGCGCATTAGCAACGTTGGGGACGAATAGAGAACGTCGGTAACAGGCCAGCGTCCAGTGTGGCAGAGTGGTACGACCGGTTCTCGATTGTTATATCCATTTATATCGTCTGTACGATATAGTCGGATTGGTGTGTACTAATTTTTAATATGTGGCTATGTCTATATAAGCAGGCTTAATGCTTATAACATCAGAGTACGCACGTGCTATTTCTACCATAAAGCTACATACCTAGAGGGAAAGCAGCTTTACTTAACCCTGTTAACATTCAGGTAGGTAGGCGTCATGTTGCAGAACTTGTGAGTTTCTGGTTCGCATTAATGGTTGTTTGCCTTTCCCTTATTGCTTGCGATATGGCTGTATAAGTTTCACAGCTAAAATGCACCTACCATCGCTCACGAGCGCAGCAGAGCATCCAGCATCCGGTTACCCAGTTGTTGATGTCACGTTCAGGAAGCGAAAACATTGCACCACGCAATGGATACCCGTTCTACACCGCTACTCCACTCCTTTGCATGAGATGAGCACTGTTGTTTGCAATGTAGCTGTTCAATTGGGCTATCCGAATTCATGACGGGATCAGGGCAGAGCGAAATGATTGTGAGAGATTTGGCAGGAAGCCCACTCATGAAGTGCACTGTCTAGTGGTTTTGTGAAAGTACAGGAAGCTGCTCACGACTCAGGTAATTGCCGATGACTATCTACATCTCCTTCAGATGAATACCTCCCAAAGCCGTGTTATGCAACTGATCATCTATCTCGCCGCTGGTTTTCCAGCGTCCAAACATCTGGCGCCGTATTTCACAATAGTGCCTCCCTATCTCCGCCGGAGATACTTCACCTGTCGAACCTGGGCGCCATGGGCTAATGGACGGTGAAAGACCTGACCAACCGTGCAAAAGAAGCCAAAAGCGAGCACGTTTTTGCCGAGCGCGCCCTGGCTGCGCGTGTCCGAGGAAAGTGGCCGACGGTGCTGCTGAGGCGGGGGTGAAAGGTCGCTCAGCCGGCGGGCGACGCGACGGGGCAGCCGAGCTCCCCCGGGTCACGGGACAGGGAAGGAGAGGACGAAATTCATACACTTACAGGGCCAGAAGCTACTCGTATGCGCAAACTCATGCGTCTGTTGGGGGAAAGAGGCTGCTAAGCTCCCAGTGCACTTTCTGAGTCTGTGTGCTACCTGCCACACATACCGACCGACATATAGCTATCTGGTTCAATCATGACGTTCCATGAGGAAGCAAGTATATGTAGGTATGTTTATTCGCAAAGCAAGTAAAAGATTGTATGAAAGCATTTATTGCAAGTATTTTGAGAGCATTTGTTCTGGGTCCATGGTGAACGACGCTTGAGTTTGTTCTTTTCTACAGTTTGCAGTTACTTTTTCTACGGTTACTTTTTATTTGACGTTTACTGTAGCGATGCTAGCAGTTTATGAATTAATTTGCGACGTGCGTGGGACATTGAGATGGGTCAATTTTGTAATCGAGAAACCTGGAAGAAGCGATACCCCTTGGTGATGATTTAACTTCTGTATGTAATCACCTTACGCATGGAATTTAATTAACCGTGGGAACAACAGTAACGTGGTGACTTCAATTAAAGTTACGAGTAGATCTAGAATGGTTAGTGCATGGGTGGGTAGTGCTCCATCGTAAGGAGTCTTAACCCTCGCCGGCACAGGGGGTTGATGCAACCCCGCCCTAAGAATGTTCGCAAATAACTCGCGTAACAAGCGGCCGATCGCGACGAAACTTTCAATTCTCTCATGTTGATTCATTTTACACCTACCCTTAAAATCTTATCCCGCGCACCGACGGGGGGGGGCGGATATCCGCCCCCCCTGAGGTTTTTCGCGAATAGCGGGAAAACCGCGGCGCGTAGCGCCGCGAAATTTGGTACGACTATTCCCTTATCAATTTTACACATGGTGTGCAAGTTTGAACCTCCTACCTTTCAAGGTCAGGTCACCAGGTCACTTTGAATGACCCAACCTCAAGTCACTTTTTTGCAACTTTGTCACCGTGCCAGAGCTACAGCAGATGTCGGAGGCCTTTGAAAGTCGCAGGATGTTATTAGGTCATTAGTAGCTACAATTTGTATATCTCGGAATTTTGATATCGGTGACCTAAGGTCAGGTCAATTTCGCGACCTCCCCATTATAAGTCAATGGGGGAAAAATCAACTCCCTGTTTTTACCACTAAAACGGGTCGGAATGGCCCCATATACCATACGTCCATACATGACTTCATATACGATCAACCTTCACTACCTTGAGGTCTGTTTTGCTGTTGGGCAGCTGTGAGGTCATGTGACGTCATCAAAGGTCACCAAAGGTTTTTGGCCAATAACTCCGTACAGGAACAAGATACAGACGCGTGGATGGTCTCATTGTGTTCAGCTCGTCAAGACGCATCGAATGATATACATGATGACCTCGAGGTCACGTGACCTGAGGTCAACCTTTGACCTTGACCTTTCGAGGTCAACATATATATCATTCGATGCGGATTGACGAGAGGATCACGATGATGCCCTTAGTTTGTTCCTATCTTGACTAATTCGAAAGTTATTCGAGAAAAACTCTATCCATATTTAGCGCCGCCATTTTGACTTTTTCGACCCCTGTGACGTCATCTTTGACCTGACCTGAAAATGACCTTTGTAAAAATTGTAGATCTTGACCGTGCGTATCCGATGCCGTTTACCGCTTGTCGCTATCTTGCTTCGTTCTCGAGATCTCAGGGGGGGGGGCGGTCATCCGCCCCCCCGTCGGTACTAAGTTGGCGCAGACCCCCGTCGGTGCGCGGGTTATGACCCTGACTCAAATGACCCTTGCCCTGTGACCAGAAATATTTTCTGAGACCATGTTTGGCCAGAATCACGATTCGGCGCATGTCGGCTCGCATTAGCCGCAGTCTTTCCGTGGTTTGAAGCGTTCAAACATGTGATTTGATGTTGCTCCCTTGCATTAGGATGGATGTCAAGGTCACCTGAAGGTCAGGTCAGGTCATTGACCTGTGATGACCTCGGTTCACTTTTTCGAGTCTTACATGTTTCTAGGCTAGTTTTTGGAACTGAATTCGAATTTAGCAACCATTTGAATATTTACGAAGTAGTGTTGGTGCCTTCGTAACATGTTACGAAGCTGTCAAAGGCGGTTGACACGTACTACGAATACCCGGCAGGACCCCTACTGGTTGACCTGACCTGACCTGACCCGACCTGGCCTAAATGCATAAAGACATCATCTGTGATGAAAACCAGTATGATATTCGTGATCAGCTCCCCGAAAAACCCATATCAGCCACACTTTAGGACGTTCTACTAACATGGCCCGATTTTCCCGACTTTTGGGTGATTGACCTGACCTGGAAGATCAACTGATGATCTAGGACCTTAAAGTTGGGTATCATCGGCTTCCTCTCGTGACAGGCAACACGCTCGTTTTCTTCCGCGAAGCTCTAGCTCGATCAGGGGCCGAACGCGAGGGGTGGTCGTACCAAGCCCCCCCCCCCTCCCCTTGTGCCGTCGAAGGACGCAAAATGGCCTGTGCCGGCGAGGGTTAAGGACACGAATATTGGACAAGCAAGGAAGATTCAACGGGGTAAAGTTCGGGTTTGATGTTTTTTATCAGGAGTGATGAACTACCTACGAAGCTGTTCAAACATAAGTGGCACTAAATTGTCACGTGGCGACCGACTATACATACTGGCAAAATATTGCACCTCAGCAGCATCTGTCTTCCCTGATGACTAAAGTTCAACCAGTTGCCAGAAACAGAGCACTCGCTTGAAACGAGCCATGCAGTTCGACCCACCACAGTGAGGATGGCAAGTGAGTCTGTTCAGCTTATGTCTACAAAGGCCGGCAATAGGTTCATGGCAATAGGTTCACGAACTAAACAATCTCTGTCTAAACAATGCCTCTGCGTCAAGGGCAGGCAGCCTCGACAGCCCGCTACCGCCTGATGTTCCATTCGCCGACCTCTGATTTTATCCAGTTCACTTCCAAAAAAAAAGTTTCCCTGTCTTTCCTCCACGTGGAGGGGATGTATAATTGAATAATGTGGTGTGACAAGAATGATATCGGCTGAGAGGATGAGGGGTTGTAGCTATCTCCTACCTGGAATATTTTTTTACGATAGCTGGAAACGCGTCGCAGATAGAGGCCTGGTTGTAGTACATACAAGTCTGATTTCAGCCAGCATAATGACTGGTTTTCTCATAAAACCGGATATTTTGGCACTAACCGCATTTTCATGTCCGGTCAGAGCACTAACCCATATCGATATACGTGAACCTTTGCATGATATAAAGATGTGGCAGACTTGCAACGCTCTCAGTGTAAAAAAAATGTCCAATAGAAAGACAGGAAGGAGAACAGAGGCATCCAATTCCATACAACTTGTAACCTCAGATTTTTCAAGCCAGATCAGTCACGTGACCTCGCCACAAGTCCATTGGAGAAAATAAGGACTACATGATAAACATATACCAGTAAAACGCCTTTTGGGGCGACTAACGGAGCGAGCGAGAAGGTGGGTCTTGCATGTGCGAAATTGCGAGGAGTACCTCCATCTAACTTGTGCACAGTGCAACTGCACCCTACGAACCGGCTCTAGCGATGTGCCAAATTTGAGCGCAATCGGCCCAGCCGTTCTCGAGATATGAAAGCGGCACCCTGCACGTGTGCACCTGCAAAATGGATCCCAACTGACTTTTGCACGGCACCCTACTAACCGGTCCCTAGCCATGTACACTCGGGGGCAGATTGATGTTCTACAACTCTTTATCCACCGGGTTCCTATGGCTCAGCATTGGCAGCCGCCGCCTGGTACCGGTAGACTGTGCCGCTTCACTTACTTGTCAAGCGGCACAGCCTACCCACCCGTATGACACCGGTCTGGGTCGGTGGCTGGAAGGTGATGTGGGCCGCCTGTGACGTCAGCGCAGCGGTGAGGGCCGAGCCCGGAGGCACGGCTCGGGTCGGGGCGGCGCGGCGGCTGGCGAGGGCTGGGGAGTGAGGTGGGGTGGGAGCACAGACCATCGCGCGGCTCAGCGAGTGTAGTTAACTTTCGCGTCTCAAGGCGCCAATTATTCTACCTAACAATTGTGCTAAAGCGGTTGTTAAAATGTCCTATCCCCAAGACAGCGCCTATCATAATACTTGCAATGCACATTACGACACACTTAAGCGTGGCAATGGGACAGCCGATAGAACTTATGTCACTCGTGCATCGAGGTGCGGAGCTATATTTTGTATAACATATTAGTATTAAGGCCTTGATTGAGCAGATTGGTGTCTATTATTTCGCACAGCAATCGTCCAGAGACGTGGGAGCTGGGGGTTATGAGTAGTGCCGCAGTCAACGCCCCACTTTAAAGCGATTATTACTGTTGCTCTAATATGTGGTCGCAGCCCCAATAGCAAACCGTTCCAACTAGGAGCCAAAAAGTCGGCCACTCAGGGGGGTTCGAACCGGGCTTCTCCCACCGGCCAATTCACGACACGAGCGTTCATCCACTGAGCTACCGAGAATGGTCCTCGTCTGCACAAAACAAAATGACATTGACCCGCTGACCGCCAAAGACAGTATTGTGACATTTGATCGCATTTGACCGCAGTGGGTGGTCGCTGGTTTCGGCAGCTCAGTGGATACACGCTAGCGTCGTAGGGTGACCGGTTGGAGAAACCCGGTTCGAACCGTCCCAGGTGCGCGACTTATTTGTTCCTAACGGTTTGCTAGATGGAACGGTTTGTTTGTTAGATGGAACGGTTTGCTATTGGTGGCTGCGACCACACATTAGAGGAACAGATAGAGTTGTTTAAAGTTGGGACGCCGCGGTATCCAAAAACCCCAGTTCCCACGTCTCTGGACGATTGCTGTGCGAAATAATAGACACCAATGAGCTCAATCAAGGCCTTAATACTTATCTGTTAAAAACAATGTAGCTCCGCAACTCGATGCACGTGTGATATAAATTCTATCGGCTGTCCCAATGCCACGTTTAAGTGTGTCGTAATGTGCATGGCAAGTATGATGATAGGCGCTGTCTTGGGGATAGGACATTTTAACAACCGCTTTAGCACAATTGTTAGGTAGAATAATTGGCGCCTTGAGACGCGAAAGTTAACTACACTCGCTGAGCCGCGCGATGGTCCGTGCTCCCACCCCACCTCACTCCCCAGCCCTCGCCAGCCGCCGCGCCGCCCCGACCCGAGCCATGCCTCCAGGCTCGGCCCTCACCGCTGCGCTGACGTCACAGGCGGCCCACATCGCCTTCCAGCCACCGACCCAGACCGGTGGCATACGGTGTGGGTAGGCTGTGCCGCTTGACAAGAAAGTGAAGCGGCACAGTCTACCGGTACCAGGCGGCTGCTGCCAATGCTGAGCCATAGGAACCCGGTGGATAAAGAGTTGTGGAACATCAATCTGCCCCCGAGTGTACCAAATGTCAAGCTCAATCGCTTCAACCGTTCTCGAGATCTGCAATCGACCCCTGCACGTGCGCACGTGCAGCAGCACCCTGACTGTGGCACATGGATATGCGTTGCCTAGTGGGTGCCAAGTGCCTTCCTACATGCCAACTAGTTAACGAGACATTGCAATTGTTGCAAACCTGACACCTCTTCGTTTTGCATGTGGCACGTGCATAAGGGGTCACCTACATGCATCGGGAATAGTCCCATACTTGGTAGAAGGAATGAAGCTACCCTACAAAAATTACCGCATGAAAATCGGTCAAGTTGTTGCTGAGATATAAGCGTTGCAAAAGCGTGACCACGACCGGCCGGCCGCTCATACTCAGGTTCCGTTATTCTACGTATAAGACTCCGCTCGCTTCGCTTGCTCCGTAATCACTACATAGACACGGCTGGACGTGGCAAGCGCAACTGTGCTAAAATTGTTGCTACGCAATTATTATTATTATCATTATTATCATTATCATTATAATTATTTTTTATCATTCTTATTATAATTGTTATTATTATTATTATCAATATTGTTATTATCATTAATATTATTATTAATATTATTATTATTCTTACTATCATTATTGTTATTCTTATTGTCATTATCCTGAGTCTATTCTCTGACGTTCACCAGTTGGCCTGCGACCTAAAACTTGGGTATTATTCTCTATGACTAGAAACTCTGCACAGTGCACAACTTTGTTTTTTCCCGAAGTTCTAGCCTAATTAAGAGCGAAAAGGCGAGAGGAATATAGGAACCATCCTTCAGCGCCGGGACGTGTATATTTAAAAATAACCGCCCGGCGAGGCGAATAGTAGGTATGGACAAAGGCGCAAAGGCGATTTTATCCCAGCAGGGCGCGAGCTGCACATGCATAATGATAATTCAATTGTCCAGGTCTCCACAGAGCTCCCATACCCCCTCCCCCTCCTCACACACATTGCCCTCCCCCCCCCCCCTCCACACACACGAGACTTATTCGAGCCACTATTGCTAAAAAAACGTGCTTGCAGTTTTACGCACCTGTGCTCAAAGTTCGCTGCCCCTCCGTCTCCCTCCTGCCCTCTGCCTGTCCCGCGTTCCGTCGCGTCGCTACCGTCGCTGCTCGCTCGTCGCTGCCCGACGGTCGTCACTGTGCACCTGTCCCCTAGCCGCGCCGGCACCACACAGCAGCGGGCTCGGCCGGCGCGCACCGTTTTTAACGAACACTCCCAGAGAAAGTCCACGAGTGTAGCGTACGTACTCGCGGCGCGCTGCGACTACTCTGCACGTGGCCCATCGAGAGGGAAAGGATGGTGTCGTGCCGCTGGCCGCCGACTTCCTGGTTCCTCTCGAACTTGGCCCCCGGTCAGAGTAAGATGTATGGTACCTAGATGACCGCAACGTGAGGTGTAAACAGAAGTATGAACAAGACGTTTGACTCAGCAGAGCAGTCGGTCTGAAAACTGACAAGAAATGGGATCCGACGACCGGGAGCTTCGTGAAGACTGCACGAAGCTCAAGACTGTCATATGCAGTCGGAGTTATACAGTGCTTTGCTCATTTTCCACAGCGCTGAGACATTCCATTTACAAGACGTTGGAAGGAATGCTAAACAGTGTTTGTTACATGACATACCGCCGTGAACAGTGAAATTGTATATCCTTGATCGAAGAGTGGGGCCACTTCAGAACAGTTGTCACGAAGGATCAGTGGCAATGTCGATAGTAATATGTATCTGTTTCTCAAGTGGGCATTACATGCAGGTACCGGTAGTTCAAGGAAATGTTGTTGAAAAGACTCGCCTGACTTTGCATGGCTGCTGGGCTGGATCAAACCTTCGTCAACGCTAATGTGTCGTGTACAGTCCATTATCAATTATGTATAGGTAATAGGTGCTACGCTATCAGTCACTCATTAACTACTACTCAAAGACGCGCGAAGTTGCACGATTGATATTGAGACATTGATTGAAATTCCGCCCTTTCAGCAAAGCGTATTACAAGTTCGAACGACGAAGTCAAAACTTTAACTTTGTCTAATATAGTTAGTATATACATACACTTTTCCTTTTATAAACAAAGAACTAACCGTCATTGGAAGGTCGGATCCTTAGGCCAGAAAGGTCATCCGAAGTAAGCAGCTCAGCGCCAATTATCTGTGCGTTTCCAAACATGCGATTCAAACCGTGCTATATGTGAAATGATGCTGTTTTATGAATTGGGCACATTGAGTTTGAATGTTACTTGAAGGCCGAGTCAAGATCATTGAACATTTGATTGCATTGATGAACTTCTTTGAACTTAAAACAAAATTATTTCTAATATTTTATATGGGACTGTCCTCAAGTCGTGCATTCATTGCAGCGCTTAGGAACGAGCAACACATTGCGGGGTCAGGTGAGAGCATGGAAAAGGCCACCAAAAGAAGGTCAACGATGAAACGATAAAAGCACTTTAGAACGCAGATCGACTGACATGAAGCATAAACTATTTCCGGTCAGATCAAGACCAGCTAAGGTCACAATCTCTGTTTGACCTCTTATGATCATGTTTGACCTCTTCACTTGATGCATCTTGACGAGAGAATCACGATGCAGTAAAATCAATAACGTCTTGATAAAACATATTTTAATGACGTCGCTTACTGCTTGCCGGCTAGTTTCCCAGAAAACGAGTCTGGGGGATGCAAGAAATTCCCTTACGGGAGTGTTATTTAAGAATATTTCATAATTTGTTGCTACAGCATGGGCTGCTATTAACAGTAACTAATTACTAACAAGCGCACCGACGGGGGTCTGCGCCAACTTCGTACCGACGGGGGGGGCGGATGACCGCCCCCCCCCCTGAGATCTCGAGAACGAAGTAAGATAGCGACAAGCGGCAAACGGCATGGGATACGCACGGACAAGGTCTACAATTTTTACAAAGGTCATTTTTAGGTCAGGTTAAAGATGACGTCACAGGGGTCAACAAAGTCAAAATGGCGGCGCTAGATATGGGGAGAGTTTTTCTCGAATAACTTTCGAACTAGTCAAGATAGGAACAATCTAAGGGTATCATCGTGATCCTCTCGTCAATCCGCATCGAATGATATATATGTTGACCTCGAAAGGTCAAGGTCAAAGGTTGACCTCAGGTCACGTGACCTCGAGGTCATCATGTATATCGTTCGAAGCGTCTTGACGAGCTGAACACAATGAGACCATCTGCGCGGCTGTATCTTGTTCCTGTGCGGAGTTTTGGCAAAAAACCTTTGGCGACCTTTGATGACGTCACATGACCTTACAGCTGTCCAACAGCAAAACAGACCTCAAGGTAGTGAAGGTTGATCGTATATGAAGTCATGTATGGTATATGGGGCCATTCCGATCCGTTTTAGTGGTCAAAACAGCAAAAACAGCCGCCAATGCCTGATGTTCATGACAGGCAATCATCGAGAGGTACCTGTCTTCTGTAAACCTGTCTCGTATTGCTCCACTGGTAGTTTTGTCATCGCACCCGTCGTCTCGCGGCCGACCGCCCAGTGTTCCTCCATCGCAGCGGCGCAGCATCCGCGGGCGGCGGTTTCACGGGCCGCGCGCGCCTCCCGCCGTGCAGCATTGTTACGACCATGCGGCGGGCGTTACGTCACGATGGCAACATGCGTCTGAGGCTGGGCAACACTGGCCCGTCGTGAAGGCGCCTCACCGAGTGAGTGGGACTGCGGCACGCCACAGGAACGCGAGTCACTCTGGGGAAGGGACAGACACGTCGTTGACGTCAACATGTATCCTCAATGTAATTAAGAATATACCTACTTACAACAGTCATCACAATGCCCGATTAGCATTGCTACACATTTAGTAAGCTAAACAATAGCACACACTTGAAGATTGACACGACCGAAAATTTTCATGAACTCGTAACACTCGTAGCACAATTGAGAATCGCAGTTGTCATAGATCCATCGAGGCTTGACAGTTATAGGGACGTGGGCGGGGACACATTTGATTGGCGCACGTTTATTGATAAAATGCCCATGTGTCATTATCATCGACAGAAATAATGCAAAAAATATCAAAATAACAAACGTCCTCACACAGGCTTCCTCCGTGAGGACGTTTGTCGCTATCGATAGAGTGCTGCGGCGATTGTCCGATCGATTTCTGGGAAGTCAGCTCTGAAGCAGCGAGGATTGGCGGCAGTATGATGGATTGATCCAGGTCGATAAGATTGGTGACCACTGGGGCAGGGGCCAGGGGTGTCAACTGTCATGAGATGAGGCCCCACAGCCCGACCAGTGTTGCGCAGGGCGCGGTGCCGACGTTAGCTGTCCAGTTCCACTGTGTCGGCAGCAGGGTCAGCTATTGCTGAACAGTCTCCGGTGGCAGTGGCAGAGGCATCGTCTTGTAGAACGTGTAAAAGAGGGAGCTGAAGAGGTCCGAGGTGGTATCAGCTGTCAGCGGAGGCTGACGAATACGATAGATACTGTCAGGGAACTGACAGCGTGAGCCTGTACGTTTGTTCTCAGCGTAGTTCGAGGTGACTATCGCAGCACAGCAGGAGCGGCGGATAGCCGGAGGAACAGCGAATATCGGGAGTTGGCGTCAAACAGCCAGAGGAGTAGCAATCACGGGAAGGAGCGGCAGGGACCGGGGAGGCCGGAGACCTCGGCCATGCGCGCGCTAACGGCTTTGGTGGCGCTCGCTCTACTCCTTACTGAGGCTCGGGCTGGCGATTATTGTGACAACTTCGAACCGAGTGGAGATTTCGGGTCCTTTTGGCATCAGATCAGTCAAGATTCCAACGGAAAATGGGAGCCCACCAGCTATACAGAAATCAAGGAAATCATTCCCAATTTTCCGGCGCCAGCCAGCGGTGACATTGTCATGTACCTGACCTCGCCTAAATCGGGAGACACAGCCTCTGCTCGTATGGAAACTCTGTCTAGTTTCCGCTTTCCTAAGGGATCGAGCATATCCTTCCGCTACTGGCTTCGCTCAAGCTACATGGGCTCTGCCACTCTGTACGCCGCCTTGGCAAGAGAAACACAAGAACTTGCCAAAATCATCGATCTCTCGGCCGAGTCCTCTCCTGACAACATCGACTGGGTTGAGGTCTCCGCACCGATCAACGCCAACGATAGCATACAATATCAGGTAATGAAGATTCCAGTGTTCCATACAGACTGACCAAACCAATTAAAATGTGTTTTATTGATCACCCTAAAACTAGAACTACCTCAAGCACATTAAGTCGTGATTTGATGGCTTCACTTTTGCATCGTTGACCTTGTGTGACTTCATTTAACCCGCGCCGGCGCCCCGCTGGGCTATTCACCCATACGCGCCCTGTTGGGGGGGGGGGAGGGGGGCAGATTCTGTCCCCCCTGTCTAACTTCCGAACCGATGGTCGTAGAAAGACGGGGAAAACGGCAATCGAAAGCTCTCAACAAGGTGGATCTTCAGAGCCCAATTTTTTTGCTTAAGTAGGTCAGAGGTCATGTCAAGGTCAGGTCAAGGGTACAAAATGCAAGTTTCTACAGTATCGTCCTTGCACCGTAGTTGCCGAAGAACTGACTGAGACTGATTGCCCAAAACGTGTTCTTAGATTACCAAGACAATATTTGTTGCATGCAATGTCATTCAAAGGTCAAGTTCAAGGTCAGGTCAAGTCAGGTCAGGTCACCAAAAACAAAATATAGAAAAGGGCATGTGCGACACATGTTTTATGGCTCATTTTATTCATAGAATTCAATAGGCACACTCAATAAGTGATATGGACCACATCTGGATTTATTTCAGGTCGAGACCAGGTCAAGGTCAGGTCAAGTGAGGTCAAATTTTGAAGTTGGTTGTTAAGACCTAAAAAGGTGTCTATCTGATGCCGTTTTTTTCACGGCGAATCGAATGGTGCTATTTTTGTTTCCGTACAAGGTCTAGAACTTAAGACATTCATAAAAAGAAATTGTGTGTCGTGACGTCATGAAAATTGAATACCTACCACATTTCTGAACCGATTCTTCTGCAAATTTGTATGTAGTAGGTGCACATAGACCACATCTCTGAAATAACTTCCGTTTTTCGACAGACTCAAAAGTTTGGATTTATAATTATTTTCCAAAAAAAGTCAGTTCTTTTTTTAAAATGGCCAAAACCCAGAATTGAGAAAAACGAGACAGCCATTTGATAGACAAAGTAGAATCACATATAACCTTTTTTGTTACGTTTTGATTCATTTGAAAATGAAGATGTTAGCGGCGTTTGAAGTTAAGCCGTTTTTTACTCGGAAATAGCGTGACATAACGT